GAGCTTAGTTTTGTAAATGTTTATAAGCTACTGATATATGCTAAAAGTTAACTTTTTTGGAAAAGGAAAATTCTGATTAACATAAATATGCTGACTTCTGTTAATAAGGTAAGCTTAGTAATTCCCAGGAAATATCTGATTACTCAGTGTGGGGGAGAAAAGGTAAGCATGGGTCCTTAATAGAAACCTCTTTGCAAAGGTTCTCCCATTGGAAATCCTCTCAGGAAAATCCCATAACAACCCACCTACCTTACCCTCTAGCCAAAATGCTCCAGTCTCCCATCTGCAAGTTTGCTTTCCAAGCATTTCCAAGTAGCAAAAGATCAATTTTGACAGGCCAGCCGCGTCACTGGTTTGAATGGGCCTCTCTCTGTATAGGGAAAAGAAAAACTGGGAAACCCCTTTTTAGGAACTCGGTAAGGTGGGAATATCAAAACACAAGGTTGGATGAGTGAAGGCTGGAGCTCTTAGGATTCTGAAGACACTGGACGGTCTGCCACCAAGACAGCTTGCACTGACCTTTGCGCTTGTTGAAGGGTGGCGGGGAGACACTTAGGTTGCCTTAACATTTTTAGAGACAATTATTTTATTTACTGTTGTTCATTGTCATTAATTAATTAATTAATTAATTCGAGGTTGACGAGAGAAAGAGAGAGAGAGAGAGAGAGAGAGAGAGAGAGAAAGCACGCTGCCAAGTCCAGGATTCAGACCTCCCTCAGTCCTGTGGGGAAGTCCAACCACCTTGAGCACAACGCCACCTGCTGACCGAAGGCCCCTTTTACGTGGCTCACCTATTGAGCGCCCAGTGCCCGTGTGGCCTGCCTCCGTGTTTACCGACACAGCTCCAGCCCAGAAATGAAGCCTTGAGGACAACGGGCTTGCCTTCCAATCCCAGATGATGAATTGAGACCGTCCCACGTGTTGACGGAAAATAGATTTACACCTAAAAAATCGTGAATAAATATCTCAATAAATAAAAACGCTGGGGAAGAAGACCCTCTCCCCGCCCCCGCAGCTCGCCCCGCCCCGTCCCGTCCGCTCACCGCCCCTCTCCAAGTCCTCGTGGGTGGCCAGGAGGATGCCTGAGGAAAGGCGGCGGAAGGCGAGACTCTGGGGGCTTAATCCGACCTTTTCCCACAGAGCCGGGCAGCACTGGGAGGTTCTCCACAGCCCCGTGGCGTGGCGTGGCGTGGCGTGGCGAGACGGAGCGGGCCTGCTGCCGCGGTGAGAGTTCTGTTCCCCTGTTTTCCCGGTGAAAAACTCCTTCCCTCCTTTTCCCCTCCCTTTTGTCCTTGACACAGGAGGCGCCACCCTGGCCTGGGACTTCTGACCTTGTTTAATGGTGCTGTCGTTCTTTGCCGTAGGGTGGTATGTGTGCGTTTCGGAGACAGAGACAGGCCCCCTGCCACTCAGCTCCCGGTCCAGGGGGGATGGCCGTGCTTGCTGTAGTCCTTTCTCCTCTCCACCCCCGCACGCACACGGCTTGGGTGTGTTCCTCAGGAGGCCTGGTACTGGACTCGAAGAGCATGGTCGGCCACGTGGGATCCAGCCGCTTTCACCAGCGAGCTGGCTGCTGGCCCCTTAGCTGTCATTGTCCCATCAGGGGGTTGTAGTAGTTCTGCGCGCGGTAGTCCGTGCACCCTCCTGCCACGTTGGACTCGTCGTCCTTTATGGAAGGTCGCGCACACCGAGTCCGAAGTTGGTGCGGTGGTAGAAAGGGAAGCTCCGGGAGCCCTAACGCCGACCTTACCCTGGGTGAGAAGGCAGGTAACCATTTGGCAGGCTTCCCTGTGAAACTCCCTGTGTATTGGAGCTTGAAACGTAGGGTAGGGTGCTGGTGTTTTGAGAGACGCGGGTCACTGCCCCCACAGGGGGGAGGGGAGGCGGTTATGTGAAATGGTACAGCCTGACCAGCCTTTGGCTTGAATGTTAAGGGAGTTAGCTGGATTCCACATGGTGGATGAGGTAGTTCGAGTCATGGATCTGGTGGCCCAAAAAACCCACTATCTTATTGTGTGTGCGTGCGCAAGCGTGTGTGTTGTGTGTATGTGGGGTGGGGGGGTTTGTGTGTACACGTGAAGAGGAGAAGGGGTTGCAGCCTGAATAATTCTTATAAGGGTGCTTTCTTTTTCTCCCTCTGTGTCTCTCTTTTCCTCATCTGTGAAGCACATGGGTCCCCTGTGACAAATTGGAGATTAATGCAAATGAAAAAAATATATATGGAAGTGTGGGGGGAGGTGTTGTCACTTCCAAAAGTGCCCAGGTGAGCTAGGCCTGGCTCCTTTCTTCCTGTGTGTTTCTGTACTTAGTTCTGGGAGGGACCAAGAGAGAGGAAGGGAATGAGGGAGGGAGGGAGGGATGGAGGGAGGGAGGGAAAGAAGACTTCCCATCTGCCAGCTGTGGGTCACAGGGCACTTGGCTTAAGGAGTAGTAGGAGAAGCCTGGGGGTGGGTGGGAGTACCAGGAACTTTCCCACGTGGGCTAAGGTGGCAGAGGGGTGAGCTCTACTACTGCTTCCCCCTTTCCCTTCTCCGGTGGTCCCTCTCTGGGGATCCGTAGTAATTCCCATTTCAAGATGGGGAAAAAGGGCTAAGGTGTGTTTCATGCTGCTTGTCTGAACTCTGACACCCCTCACACCCACCCTCTGCCCTATTAACTTTTTCTCTCTCTTTTTTCCCCCCCTTGAGATCCGGCACTTAGCTCTCTGTGCTCAGACCTAGTTGACAGAAATGTGGCCATCGGTAAATATGGTACATGCTGAAAGAAAGAAAGAAAGAAAGAGAAAAAAAGAAAAACAAAACCAAAAGGAAAAAAAGCGCCATGGCGCGCCCATCTCTCGTCCTCACCGCGCGCGCGCTCTGTCGCCTTTTCCCGTGCTCTGAAGAGGTGAGGTTCTGTTTTTTGCCTAGGAGGGTAGGCGTTTGCTCGTTCCCGCGCGCGTGTGCGCGCCGCGTCCCATGGCGGTGCCGCCAGCCCCGTTGGCTGGAGACGGGACCCGGAGGCCACCGGTCTGCCCACCAGTGCGCCAGCAGAGCGACCTCGCCGGTCTGCCAGTCGCGATCAGTGTGTGTATGTGTGGGTGTGGGTGTGGGTT